CTTCTCAGGCTCGCTCTGTCCTCTGGCATGCTCGCTCCAGACCCGTCGCCATCTTGCTCCATGGTAAACTGATTTTGACAAGGGTGCCAAGACAATTCAATTCATTGATGAAATGGAACAACATGATATCCATATGTTAAAAATTAAAGTTGGATCCCTACCTCACACTGTATATGAAAAACTAACTCAAAATATATCATAGACCTAAATGTTAGGGCTAAAACTATAAATACCTTAGAAGAAAACACAGGAGTAAATCTTTGTGACCTTAGATTGGGGCAGTAGTTTCTTAGATATGACACCAAAAGTATAAGTGACAAAAGAAAAATAGGTAAATTTTACTTTATTGAAATTAAAATCTTTTGTGCTTCAAAAGAAGCCATCAAGAAAGTGACGAGAATTAAAACAATGGTAGAACATATATTGCAAATCATATGTGTGATAAGGGTCTCATACCTAAAATATGTAAAGGTCTCTTACAATTCAATGATAAAAAGATAACCCAATTAAAAATCGTCAAAGGACTTGGATAGATATTTCTCAATAGGATAGAGGATATACAGATGGCAGATAAGCAAATTAAAAGAGGCTCAACATCATTAGTCATTAGGGAAATGCAAATCAAAACAATGAGATATGACTTCACACCCAGTAAGATGGCTACAAGCAAAAGAATAGAAAATCAAAAGATATGGAGAAATTGGATCCTTTTATACATTGCTGGCAGATTTCTAAAAAAAAGATTTGTCTGTTTTAGAAAACAGTTTAGCAATTCCTTATAATGTTAAACAGAATTATCACATTACCCAGCACTTTCATTCATAGCTGTATACCCAAGAGAACTGAAAACATATGTTTATATAAACACTTATACATAAATGTTCAGAGCAATGTTGTTTATAATAGCCAAAAAATGGAAACAACCCAAATGTCCATCCACTGATGAACACATAAACAAAAAGTGATTAATCCATAAAATGTGGACTATGACTTGGCAAGAAAAGAATGATGTTTTGATACATGCTACAAAATGGGTGAACCTTGAAAACATTATGCTAAGTGAAAGAAGCCAGTCACAAAGGCTATATATTGTATGATTCTATTTATGTGAAATGTCCCGAATAAGTAAATCCATAGAGACAAAATGCAGATTAATGGTTGCCAGGAGTTGGGGGAAGGAGGAATGGGAGTGACTGCTGGGGGTATGGCGTTTACTTGGAGAGATGATGTTCTGAAATTAGTGATGATGGTTGCACAGTTCTGTGGATATGTTAAAACCACTGAATTGTACATTTAAAAGGGTAAATTTTATGGTATGCAAATCTCAATAAGGGTGTTAAAAAATGAGGAGCATAACTCTCCAATCTTTAGACATGGGTTGCACATAGTTGCTTCCTTCCAAAACGTGTAGTATGAAAGTGGGTGGGGATGACAGAGAAACTACATCAGAGAGACCTGACAGACTACAAACACTACCTCAGCCAGGTGATCAAGGTAACATCAACTGTCATAAATCATGTAGATAAAACCATCAGGGTCATCAAAAACAAGGAAAGCCTGAAAAACAGCCACAGCCAAAAGGAACCTAAAGAGACTAAATATAATGTGTCTACACTGGATGGGATCCTGGGATCAGAAAAAGAACTTTGAAAAAAAACTGTGGAAATCTGAATAAAGTAATACTTTAATTAATAATGAATCAATATTGCTTTATTAATTGTTAACTAATGTGCAATACTAAATGTAAGATGTTAATAATAGGGGAAACTTGGTGTGGGGTATATAGGAACTCTACTATCTTCTCAATTTTTCTGTAAATCTAAGCTGTTCTAAAAAATAGTCTTAAGAAAATGAGTGCAATCCTATGGCCCTTGGAAAACCTTCCAGCAGCTTTCCTCAAACTTATCAATTATTAAGAGGGAAAAAAAAGTACCGTTTTAAAATAAGCTTTTGAAACACTGGGTTAAACAATATAAAACAGGTTTTTTTATTGCAGGACTTCTCGGAGCATTTACTTTCTTAACATATGTAGTGACTTTCTAAGCAACAGGTAGTCCAACCACTATTTCCCAAAGTTATTGACTCTCTATTTGCATATAGCCTGTAAAAGCACTTCCAATATTGACAACTGTTGTTCAAATATAGCAGTTCCCAGACTTAAGAATTTTATAAACCAGTAGAATTTCAAAAAATAAAAAAAGTTTGGGACCAACAAAACATTGTCACCTTTTTTATTGTAGCAAATAGGAATCTTTAAAAAAGAGCATCTGCTATCACCATCATTTCCTAAAAGAGGATATTTCAAACCTCTAGGGTGAGAAATATGTAATTAATTTAAGGTTGAAGAGCATCCCTTGAAATGGAATACTCTTGGCTCTCCTTTGTCCGTGTGCTTCTCATTTGGCTGTGAACTTTATGAATCTGCTGTGGGCCTTAGACCAGCACTTTGGGCGCTCCAGTTCCTTGGGCAGTGGCACAGCTGACTGTCCTGTGCTGCTTTTCCAGAAGCCCTCGCCTTCAGCTGCTTCACAGAGCTCATGAAGAGGATGAACCAGAACTTCCCCCATGGAGGTGCCATGGACACGCACTTTGCCAACATGAGGTCGCTGATCCAGGTATGACCCGGCATCTAGTCCTGCTTTGGACTTTTTTGGGAGACAGGAAGTATAGCTCAGTGGCTTAAGATTAAATGATTCAGAGCCAACCTGGGTTTGAATTCTATTTCTGCTACTTGCTAGTTGTATAACCTCAAACATATGCTTTTAATCTCTCTGAGCCTCAGTTTCTTCATCTGGAAAATGGGTTATCCTATCACTTATGTGATTCTCAATAAATTATACAATTGCATGGAAATGAAATAAACTAATGCATTTATAATGCTTAGCACAATGCCTACCAGTGCGTCTCAGAGTATAGCCCATAGGTCAGCAATATCAGCATCACCTGGGAATTTTTTAGAAATGCGAATTATTGTGTACTTCCCTTACTGACTTGGAAACTCTGAGAGTTGGACCCAAGAATCTATGTCTTATGAAGCTCTCCAGTTGATTCTAATGCAAGCTCAAGTCTGAGAAGTGCTGTAATAAATGCTAGCTCTTTAGCATACATAGTGATTAGTATTTCTGCTCCCCAGAGAAATTGACATTCACCCCTTTGAGTAGAAAAAATGGAAATCTATTAATCCAAGTAAATAATAGGGCTTCTTCATTATCTATGCACCAGCAATGGAGCTACAGCAGTAATTAAGTTAGCTCTGATTTCTTCTTTGGTGGTGTTAAAAAATATTACAAAATATTTTGGACATGAAAATAGGAAGAATAATATAATGAATACCCATGTCTCCACCCCCATCTACCCAAGAAATAAAACATTAACCACGGATTTTACAGGCTTCATGTACCTCTCCCTGATAGCGTTTCCCCACTCCTATCCTCCCAGTGGTAACTGCTTTCCAGAATATATTTATCATAACAATACATTTTTTAAAATCCTTTTACAACATATGCATATATTCCTAAACAAGATATAATTTTGTTTCTCAAGCTTTTCAGCTTTACATAAATAGTTTTAAATGGTATGAATTCTTCTGCAGCTTGTCGTTTGACCCTCATCAACAGAGCAGTTCATTTCTTTTTTCCTGACGTACAGTCTTCCTCTTTAGGAGTATAATAACACATTGTATCATTTTATTTGTGTCTCTTTTCCTGTTGAAGGACATTTAGGTCGTTTGTGTTTTGTTTTGCTTTTGCTTTGGGGAATTCAGGTGTTTGTTTTTGCCCTTTGCAAGCAGAGCTGCCCTGAAATTTTGTGTACATCACCTTCAGCATGCACACAACAGCTTTGCTTGGGCATGTACCAGACAGAAAAAGGAAAAAAGAATTTTTTAAAATGAAGAAAATCTAAGAGAGCTAGCAATCAACCTCAAGAACATAAACATCGGAATCATGGGTACTCCAGAAGGGGAGGAGAAAACCTATTCAAGGAAATAACAACAAAGAACTTCCTGGGTATAGGGAGAGATGCAGACCTTCAGATCCTAGAAGCCCAAAGATCCCCAAACAGATTCAACCCAAGAAGATCCTCTCTAAGACACATTGTAGTCAAACTGTCAAAACTCAAAGACAAAGAGAAAATTCTAAAAGCAGCAAGAGAAAAGCATCAAGTTACTATAAGGGAGCCACCATCAGACTAACAGCAGACTTCTCAACTGAAACCTTATAAGCCAGAAAAAAAATGGGATGATATATTCAAAATACTAAAAGATAAAAACTGCCAGGCAAGAATATCCAGCAAGCTTACCCTTCAGAAAAATGAGGGACAAATAGAAATATTTCCTGGACAAACAAGAATTATAGGAGTTCACTACCACACAACCAGCCCTGCAAGAAACACTCAAAGGAGTCCTGCATCTGGAATCTGAAAAACAATAATCACTATCATGGATTTACAAGAAAGAGCAAATGTTAAAACAAAATGCAAATGAGAAAGAGAAAGAAGCTAAATCACATCACCTCAAAAATCCAGCTAAAATCAAAGGTGAAAAATAAAAGGGGAAGAAAAGAACAAATGATATTTATTAAATAATTTATTTTATTTATTAAATCAAAATCGATTATACATATTTTTGTGACTGTCTTCTTTCACTTAGCATAATGTTTTTAAGGTTCATCCACGTTGTGGAACGTTCCATATCAGAAATTCATTCCTTTTTATTACCAAATAACATTACAGTGTGTGGATATGCCACTTTTTGTTTATCCATTCATCTGTGCATGGACATTTGCTTCTAGTTGTTGGCTGTTTATTATTCATAATATATCATGTACAGATTTTTATATGGATACATGTTTTCATTTTTCTTGGGGATATACCTAGGAGTGGAATTGCTAAGTCATATGGTAATTCTGTATTTAACTTTTTGAGGAACTGCCAAACTGTTTTCCACAGCAACTGCACCATTTTAGATTTTCTCGAGCTGTGTATGGGGTTTCCAGTTTTTCCACATCCTCACCATCCTAGTGGGTGTGAAGTGATATGTCACTGTGGGGTTTTTTTGTTTGTGTTTTTGGCGGCTGGCAGGTACAGGGATCCGAACTCTTGAACTTGGTGTTGTAACACGGCACTCTAACCCACGGAGCTAACCAGTCAGCCCTCCTTGTGGTTTTGACATGCATTTTCCTAATGACTGATGATGCTGAGCATTTTTCATGTGCTTACTGGCCATATGTAAACCTTCTTTGGAGAAGTGTCTGTTTACATCTTTTGTTCATTTTTTAACTCCACCTGGCTGTTAAGGAATGTGTGGTGTCCGGTATGGGGATGCACCACCATTTATTCATCTGTCCCCTCTGGGCTGGCCTTTTCCCAGGATGCTAATGCTGCGCTTTCCTTCCTCTGACAGATCCTGGACTCTGAGCTCTTTGAACTGATGCATCAGAATGGGGACTACACTCACTTCTACTTCTGCTACCGCTGGTTCCTGCTGGATTTCAAGCGAGGTACAAACTATGGCTTTGTTCTTTGTAGCAGAACTTCAGGGGAAAAGACACCAAGAAGGTGAGGCTGAAGGAGGGTTGGAGCAAAGGCAGCAGAAGAGCCTAATGCACATTTATTTAGGTCTGACTATCAGTTCACCTGCCTTACCTGCAACAACACTGTGCAGTAGATGCTGTGAAGATCCCCATTTTACCAATGAGGAAACCAAGGCTGAGAGGCATTAAATTTAAAGCTAGGAATAGTAGCACCAGGATCTGAGGCCACCTCTGTCTATCTGCAAAGCCCACTTGCCTTCCATTCTATTATGCTGCTTATCAGAGACCCAGAACTCTAAAGCCCATGGAGCAGGGGTTATTGTGTGCATGTTTCAAACATGACTTCAAAGTGATGTATAGCACAGTACCTTGTTGCTGCTGTGCAAATTTGGGGTGGTGCTAATAATAATATTTAACATTTATGGAGACGTTTATTAAGTGCCACCACTGTGCTGAGCTACTTATATGTATGATCTCTTCAGTCCTTTTCTACTATCAGCCTCATCCCACTTACAGATGAGGAAAGAGAGAGGCTCATGGAAGAGAAGTAACCAGCCCAAGGTCTCCTCGCTAGCAAATGATGGAGGAAGGACTCACATCAAGTTTATTAAACATAGGAAGCCTTGCCTTTAACCATTGCTCTATTCTTTTTTTTTTTTATACGGTACAGCAGAAGCTGATTGTCACCCCTTGTGCCCATGATGTGGGGGCC